AACACATTTAACTCACAGTACATACAGTTTTAAATAACTTGTTCCTTTGGAATACGACAACAATTCTTCAGTTACTTAAGTATAAGATTTATAGTACCTCTTACATTTATTAAGTGAAAGCAAACGTTTTTTTACTTTTATTTANTAGTACCTCTTACATTTATTAAGTGAAAGCAAACGTTTTTTACTTTTATTTAAGTAGAATATGTATGTGTAGCCTGGTTGCTTTTTATCTAGCAATACCTTTTGCATTCTAAACAGGGCTGCCGCAATCGCTTCCAAAAAAATATTTCGGTTCGATTTAGAACCCGTCATGTAACGTCTTATGAAATCTATTTACTTTCTAAGATATAAGTTTTGCTTTAAAAAATCTAAAACATATTACAAAAAATTCAATATATCAACACAAACTTACGAAAAAAGTAGTAGCATACATATTCTTGTACGTATGTACATTAGACTGCATCACTCCCCTAAAAAAAAAATCGGTACTGTTTTTCCATTGGAATTATGAAATCTATTATATTTTAAGACGTCCACTAAAATATTTCGAAAAAATATTAAGATTTAAGTGAGCTGGACCGATTTGAAAATACCTCCAAAGATGGAGTTTTTTATGAATAAAAATAGTTTATTAAAGTTTTTTTTTGAAAAAAACCCCTCAAATAACAAAACCGGTTTAAGCTTAAAAAATTTGCGTAAAAATATTAAAAAAAATTTTTGAACGGAATCGTAATAATGAGATTTTTGATGCTGTTTTTAACTTTTTTCAAAGATTGGTATAAGAAAAACTTGAATAACTGAGCCTAAACTCTCCCGATTTAGACTTGTGAGATATCATTGGAAAGGTATTTTCTCACCATTTTTATTTCTTTGCTAATAAACTCATTCAAAGGATGAAAGAAAAAGGTAGGATGAACGAATATCATTCAAAGTTGAATTAAGATGTGTTGGTATTTGAAAAAGTATATATTGGGACACGAATGACTTTTTTGCACATAAATAAAAACAGTGGGAAAATACCTTTCTACCGAGATCCCATAAGTCTAAATCAGAATAGTTTTAGGTCAGTTATTTAAGTTTTTCGTAAATCAATCTTTGAAAAAAGTAAAAAACAGCATCAAAAATCTCATTATTACGATTCCGTTGAAAAGAGTTTTAAATATTTTTATGCAGAATTTTTAAGCCTAATTTGTTTTGTCATTTGAGGGGACTTTTTAAAAAAAATCTTTAAGAAACTATTTTTATTCATAAAAAAAATCCATTTTTGGAGGTATTTTCAAATCGGTCCAGCTCGCTTAAATCTTAATATTTTTCCGAAATATTTTGGTGGACGTCTTAAAATATAATAAATTTTGAAATCCCGGCGGNTTTACTAAAAATATATGTCTATTAATAATTGTATTTATTATTTACAATTAAATATTTAATTGATATGTTTTGATTACACTAACTGAGAACTCACCGTACTCGAATAATCGCAAATCATTCCGAAAGACTTCATTTTTTTAAATAGGATTTTCGCTTCGGTATAAAGCGCTGAAACGGCAACACTGCTCCCTACATCCGTAAGCTCATCATCAGTTGAAGTTAATCCCTTAAGGCGACGATTTGCGAATTTTTAATATTTACTTTTTGGGTGTTCAGGTGAGCCAATTATTAATAAAAGTAGTGATAAACTATTAAATTATAAGTGCGGTTTAGTTTGCAATAAAANGTCGGGTTTCGTTTTAGTGTCCCCGTTTTTGATTTGATTGCACAAATTTGAANAATGTTCGAATAATTTATACATATATAGGGCTGTCAGACTTCCCGGTTTTCCCGGACATGTCCCGGTTTTAGACTATTTGTCCCGGTATCCCGGTCCAACCTTAAAATGTGTCGGGTTTCGTTTTAGTGTCCCCGTTTTTGATTTGATTGCACAAATTTGAATAAAAGTTAAAAATCCCTACACTAAGAGAAAATACGGGATGTAATATTCAGAAAAATGTTATGAATTCACTGAGGGAAATAACGCATAGTAAACATGAATATTTTTTATTTGATTATCGTTTAAAAATGTTCGTACAATACTTTCATAACACGCATGCGTGGTGTTGATTCAAACTCAACATTTAAATGCACATTTGCATGTCTGGCTGTAGCTGAGTGCGCGAAGATGCTTGCCACAATTTGCTAATTTCCAGAGGGTAAGGGTTCAATTCCCATTACAACCAGCATGGAACTTAAATATTTGTTTAACTTAATTATGAAAAAGCAATCGGTAATTGCAAATCGCTTCATTTTAATATAGGCGTATTTGAATTGAATATTTCTTTACTAAATACTAAAATTTGTATACTTAATAATTACTTACTAAATTTATTTCTTTAAGTGCACCGGTTTAAAGGCCTGTATGCAGTTCTCAAGAAAAGCTAAAATTCCATACAAAATGACATACAAGAAATGGCTAAACAATTTTCTTGAGTCAAATTTACTTAAACCAGTACGCAGTTCTCAAGCAAAGTCCTACACTTTCTACTACCTTTTTTCTAAAGAAATTTTAAATTGCTGAACAGCGGAACCCTGATTTTGCGAAGGAATAATGACAAAGCATTTATTTCTTGAAGAGTGAGGCGTTAACCAGAATTTCGAATAAAATCTGGGCTGATTGGAAAAGGGAATTTGAGGAAGTGAGTATTATCAAAGGAAAACTTTTTGTTGAAAATGGGGGTGGAATTGAGTTTAAACCATGGTTCAAAAAGAAACATGTATATTTAGGGGTTTATGATATAAAATTACTGAATAGGTTACTTACTGGGCATACTTTTGGTAAGACATATATTAGTAAANTTTCTTGAAGAAAACAGCCGGACCAAAGTTGTAATCTAATTATCAGAAATGGAAATCGGCGCAAGCTCGTCCAAGCGGCAGAAACGAATTCTGCACTTTACGGCAGAAGAAAAACGGAAATTAATTTCCGCAGTGAAGGAGAATGCGAGGATCTGGAATATTAGCGATCCGATGCATTCCAACAAAAATGCGGTGGACCAAGCGTGGAACCGCATTGGCGTCATGCTTGAAAAGACTGGTAGGTATACATATTCATAATAACATGAACGTTGAACATCTTTACTTATTCAGTGGAGGAATGCAAAGCAGCTTGGGTGAGCTTGCGAGAAAGCTATCGCTACCGGGCGAAGGTTGCCCAAAAAAAACAGAAGTGGAAGTGCGGGCGGTGAACATCAAAGCGAGCCATCCTTCTGCGAGGACATTGACTGGGAGTTTGCAGAGGAAATATCGTTCCTGCCCAATGTGTCTCAAAAGAGAAGGTTCAAAAATCAAGTTTTTTAATCAAATTTAAGCATACATATATATCTTATTACTTTTACTTCGCAGAACTTTTACGACAATCGAGGAGGTTTCCCAGGAGCAAGACGAAGACGAAGCGACTATCAGCACAGATCCTGGTTCCCAGTATGACTACGTAAGTTTATATATATATATAGATATATATATATATGTATCACTCCCATAGTAAAAATTAAGACAGTTTGATCTAATGAGCTATACTTTATCAATAAAGCCATGAAATTTTAACACAACGTAGATAACACAAACAATTTTTTGGATTATGGCAGTTTTGGAGTATGGCATCGATTGAAATTTGTTTTGTTGAATTGTTTCTTTCTAGACCACCCCACCGACACAGCGATCTCGTTTACCTAGCCAACCGCAAACCCAGGAAATTTGGAAAAAGTTTGACGATCTCCTGGAAAAGCAGCAGAACGCAGTGAGACTTCGTGGGTTTGAATCGGAATCGCCATTTCAGCAAGCGTTCACTGGCTTCGAATTTCTACTGAAACAGCTTCCAAAAAACATAGCCGATTAAGCATGTTGCAGCTTCATGCAAACGCTGCTAAACAAGGTTTTAGAAGAAAAAAACAAGGGACCGTAACAGTTATATATTTGATATGTTTGCTCGCAAAATAATACTTACTTCTTGAGTTTTATTTTGCTTTCAATAAACAACACTTAGGAAATGATAAATAAAACTTATAAACTGGGTTTTATTTTACAGTTTTTATTCTTTTAATTAAACAATTCAACTGGTTTCAACTAAATTAAAAAATTCAATCGATCTGAAAACTTAACGTTTTCAAATGGTTTTATTTATAAAAGGATAAAAGGATTAATAAAAATTTTGCTCATTATCTAACAAAACCATATACGTAAGTCTAAATTTTCTAACCAACTTTTTATTAAGAATTTGTAGAAAAGTTCTAAGTATGCAGTTTTATAGCCCATTAAATTCTAGCTCAATAAAGTGCAAGTTTCAATTGGCTAAGAATTCCTGTTGATTTGTTTAAAGAAAATAATAAAACCATACACTTTACGCTAGAATTTAATGAGCTATAAAACTGCATACTTAGAATTTTTCTACAAATTCTTAATAAAAAAATTGTAATTTGGACTTATATGGTTTTGTTAGAAATGAGTAAAATTTTTATTAAAAAATAATAAACAGTAAACAAACCAAAGGAAAATAAGAAAAACTGGTCAAAATATCATGTCCCTATTATTTTTCAAACGTCTCATTCGACGGCTGAGTGGAAGATCGACATATATCGGTAGCTAGTTTCGAGAACGCCCTATATCGTAGAGCTTTTCAAGAACGCCTTATTTCAGAATTTGGTTGAAGAACGCCCTATTGTAGGATTCGGTTCAAAAACGTCCGGTCTCAACATATCTCAAGAGAGTGACTTAAGCCACTTCAAAAATAAACTTCTTACATGTACATACATAAGTAAAATATATTATTTGGTGCTGCTATGAACTACACTTAAAACATTTGAAATGATTAAAGACGTGGAAGGATTAAACAAATGCAGCATCATTTTGCCATGGAACAGCTCTGTCTTCAGAGTTAACGTACTCCTTTAACAAATTGCGTACATATTTCCCATAATCCGATGATCTTCCACGACAAAAGTTCGGTTCATTCGGGGTCTCCTCCCAACTTTCATATTCTCCTCTTACCCACTCTCCACCATTACCTTCATACCCAGAGAATGTATCTGGAGAATACTCCTGGCGAGCTTTGTTCAACAAGAAATTGTGTAGCAAGCAGCATGCTGATACTATTTCCTGAGCACGATCCGGAAAGCAAAATAAGATTTTTCGTAAACAAAGCCATTTCGTGCTCAAAATCCCGAAAGCATTCTCAATGCATCTTCGAGCTCGGCTCAAACGATAATTAAATATGCGCTCTTCTTTTGTCATTGATTTTTTAGAGAATGGTTTTATAATCCGCTTGTTCAACGGGAAGGCGTCATCTGCAACGATGAAATGCGGCACTTTCTTCCCGTTAATAATAGTATCAGCAGGGAATGGCAACTGGTCGTTTAGTATTCTAGAGGCAAATGTAGAGTTTTTGAAAATGTTGGCATCCTCTTCACTGCCGTAAGCGCCTACATCTATATAGGTAAACTTGTAAAACGCGTCGCACGTAGCCAAAAGAACAATGGAGTGAAAGCCCTGAATGGAGAACAAAATATAAGGTTTTTTGATTGAACAACAGTCGAGTTACATGCATATATATAATATACATATCTATATATATAAAAATGGTGTAAAAAATGTATAGTAATTCATCAATTGAGAACGGTTGGGCCGATTTGGCAAATTTTTTTTTCAGTTGTTCGTAATTGCCAGGAGAAGGTTTTTACGAAAGAAAATTTTGGGAAAACCCTCCGGTGGACCAGGAACCGATCTATTCGAAAAAATCGTATTTATCGTCCGATTTGCTTAAAATTTGGTGCGTAGGTAGGTTTTTGCCCAGATTAGCATATAGGAAATTGCTGGAAATTCGATACCTGTATTATACATATGCGTGCAATAGCATTGGGTCATTGTTTTACAGCTCGAAAGGAGTTCGAAGGCGCCGGAAACATGCGGGTATTGGCTATTTAACAATACTTATTACACAGGCCAACAACAATAGGAAAAAAAATTATGCAGCAAATGTTAACGCTCTTTTTGACGTAAGCATAAAGTTTCCATCAGCTCCAGATTTTAAGAAAAACGAGGTCAAAGTGTCAAAAAATCGCGTTTTTTGCAATATTTGAGAAGCTCTAGCAAAGAAACAAAGGGTGGTAGAACCTCCCACTTAGGCGTAGATTAAAGCAAAAAATCTCAACCACTATCCATGTCTTTTCCTTAATATAATTGTAAAGCTCTGTGCACGTCATTTTGAACGTATTTAGGTACATATACTAATCACCAACTATTGCCTGTTCAAAGTTCAACCAGAGAACGTTTATAAATGAGAAGGCGCATTTTCTGTGTGAACTAATTGCTGCCAGAAATTTTGGGGTGCAGTCGGCCAAATCACAATATAACCAGTAAACAACCTTCGGTGAATTTGGCGACTGCCTTCCTCGGGGATGAATATGCTAGGGAAGAAATTATTGGTACACATGCCTTCCAAGCACGCAGGGTTGCTTTCGAGAAACAAAAAATAATTAACTCCAAATAGTTTGAAATAGTATAGTGTAAAACGAAACTTATTGAATAATTCCATATAAAATGGTATTCATAAATGACTCATTTTCTAAACGATTTAAATAAAACGCATTTCATAACCTTTTTTGTGCAAACGGCATTTGCGAATTGATAGAAAAGTACTACGGATTGTAAATTTTTGTTAACTATGAGGTGGATGAAAATTTTCAACCCGGCCTGACGGTTTTGAAGAATTTTTTTGTTCTAATTTTATTACTAAGGCGTCTAATAAATGCATGGCTTTTAGTTCTAGAAGAATAAAAGTCAGTAAAGACAAGTCTTTTTTGTATAATTTCTGGTTTTAATTGCTCAACTTCTTTTGCACCAGAGCAACAGTCAAAAATTTCCAGCAGTATAAAGTTACGAATTGGCACAGCAATGTAAAATTTTCTCGCCATAATAAAAAAGTTTTTTCAACATGGATCTTTTCTACTAAGGGCCTGTGCCAATCGGTAACTTTTTTCTCCGTGGTGAGACGGGGTGGAAAAATGTGCTATGGTGTACAAATAAATTGAATTTTGCTGTGCCAAATGCAGAGTAAAATTTTGACAGTTGAAAAACCAAACAAACGCTCGTGCGAAAGCTTTATTTTTGTGTGTTGCTGAAATGCTTAAAATTTATATTTATTTTATAATTTGCAAGTAACGTACGCTTTTTTTATGCTGTTTCAGCTTTCATTTTCATGTTCACTCCTTATTACCGCCAAGCAATATTATGTGTATACATGGTTATAAGCTGTCAAAATTTTACCTAGCCCCATGAGCTAGGTAAAATTTTGACGTTCGTATTCACCACGAGAAGTGTAAAATTTTTACTTTGATCCGTCAAAATTTTCTATTTTCTATCAATAGGCACAGGGCCTAATTGACATGAAATTACTATCTCAACGCTCGGAGCGCTGCCACTGAGAGCTTTTGCCAACTGATAAAAAAGAGAAAATTTGGAAATACCAAACAAAAATTTTGAGATTTCTCCTTGTGAATACGAATGCCATAGTTTTTACCTGGCCCGTGGGACTACGCAAAATTTTGACAGCTTGTAAATATGTATACACATAAAGTTGTTGGCGGTAATAAAGAGTCAAAATCAAAATGGAGAAAAGAACAAAAATCGTACGTTAGTTGTCAGTTATAAAATAAATCCTATTTATTTGCGAATATTTTTTTATTCTATTTATTGAAAGGCAACTACGCGAAAAAGCTTGTGTTAATTATATTGATAACAGAACCTGGCAGCTCGCAGGTTGTCTAAATTCTCAAGTAACATAAAATCCACAAAAGAATACATTGCTTGTCCATCAATACGCCATGTATAAATTTTAACAACACACAAAAATAGAGCTTTCGGACGAGCGTTTGTTTGGTTTTTCGATACTATTATAACTACAACAACAACGACTACTACAACAACAACCCAAAAAGGTTGGTTACTGTCTATACTGTGGGCCAAATATACCACTCGTCGACAAAGTGCACCGCTCGACCGACGGTGTCGGCAGAGAAGTGTCGGCTGCCACCATACCAAAAATTTTTCCGTGCCACCACACTTCGAGCAAATTTACTGTAGTTCAAAGCAAAATGAAAAAATAAGAACGAAAAAGGAAAGAGGAACAGAAATATAATAAGCACTATGCAGAGGGGATGCTTGCGGAGGCAGGCGCGTGCTTGTGTCGGATCAAAACAAACTCTAAAATAAAAATGGTAGTCAGAACCATGATTCAATAATACAAGGTTAGATAATTATTGACAGCTGCGGTTTGACACTCCCTTACAAAAGGTTGCATTTACGAAGGACAGAGAAAGGGCAAGAATGCAATTCCTTGTTTCGAAAATGGTAGTAGAAAAGTACGCAAAGTAGGCAATTAGTAGTGAAATTCCTTTCGTAAATTCTAATGTATTTGCAGGAAATCTGGCACGAAATGTTGAACGTAATATGGATATATCTACGTGAATTACGTAATTTATATGCTATTTAGCCGTATAAAAACTGCAAAATGACTCAAAATTAAAATAAGACTACTATGAGATTGATGTAAACATCCAATGCTTAGGTTTTCATCAGTTAAAT